CCATGAAGAGCTCTGGGTCCCAGAAGAAAAAGGCTGGCAAAGTCAAAACCCAAGTTAAAGTGAAAAATGAGTCTGACGATGAAATTCCGCAACTGGTACCGATGAGTGAGACTCCAGTAAAAGGAAATGTTGAGGTGCAAAAACATGTCACAGAGAACAAGTCTCCCAAAAAGAGTCCTGGTCCCAACACACCTAAGGGCAAGAAGAGAAAGGCCCTGCCAGCTCCTGAGACCCCAGGTGCAGGTCCAGGGAAGAAGCCAAAAATGGAACAGAAGAAGAAACAAAGAAAACCCTCACCAGGGAAGAAAGATCCAAAAAAGCCAGAGGCCAAGCTCTTCGCTACTGCTAATAAATCTACAAGGAAAGCTCCCCACACCCCTAAACAATTGCCAAAAAAACCCAAAGTGCCACAGTCAACCTAAAATCAGTGACTCAACCAGAAGGAGACAGCAGAGTGACCTGACAGTTGTTGGAAAATCCTTGGGTCCTGGGCTGGAGATGTACCTCATAGTAGAGGGCTTGCCCAGCACGCACAAGGCTCTGGCCTCAGTCCTCCACCCCATTACAAATAAATGAGTAAAATAAAAGACTCGGGTCCTGATCCACCATGGCAGCCTTCTTCAAAAATGAGGCCTGGGGCCGGGGATTTAGCTCAGTGGTGCCGCCGCCTGCCTGCCTCGAAAGTGCAAGGCCCTGAGTTTGATCCCAGGTACCAAAAAAAAAAAGAGGCCTGGGTTTAAATATTTTTAAAACCTCCACAGGTAACTCCTGACAAGTATCTGGTTATGAGAAACACTGGTTAACATGTATTTTTAAATTGCTCTTCTGTTTAACTGTTAATGTCAGGCAAAATGAATGCTTCTCCATATTTGTGATTTTTTTTTGTTATTATTAAAGTGTAACGTTTGCTTCTGAAAATAAAAGAAACCAAGTACCTCGCTTGAGAGGTAGACCCCACCTTTCCATTTGCAGACTCATGCGTGGAAAAGTGAACGGCTGCTGAGAAGAGAGCCTGTACTCTGCTCAAGAAAGGAAACTGGCTCGGCCATCCCGGCACTCAGAGGCCGGTGCAGCCACAGTTCAAGGGGGCCTGGCTACTGCTGGAGTCTACAGCAGACCTTGGTATCAGGCACATGGTACTGGCTTTACAGGAATGCCAAATGAGTTACGGATCATGGAGACTTCCACCCAGATTTCAGAGGAAGGCCTGGGAGGCCAGGCAGTGTCCCCTAGAGGGCAGTGCGTGAAGCTGTGAGGGTGAAGCCAGAAGTGCAGTGGAGGCCCCAGGAAGTTGGAGAAGCCAGGAACGTGGAACATCTGCTGAGGAAAGCTGCAGGCAGTGAGCAGAGCCAGCTGGAGAGAACCCATTAGGGCTGAGAGCCCTGGCGACACTGTAGGGTGGAGCCACCCCAGTCTCTTGGAGTTCATGTCTTGCTGCAGCTGCCCTGGGTGCTGGACATGGAGCTGTAGGATTTAATGTTTTCCCTGCTGGGTTTCAGTCTTTTGCATATTTGTTTTGTTTGTTTCTTTGTTTTTTGGTACCGGGGATTGAACTCTGGACCTTGTGCTTGTGAGGCAGGTGGTGGAACCACTGAGCTAAATCCCCAGCCCTGGTTTTCGGTCTTGCCTTGATCCATTTCCTTTCTGTCCCCCCATTTCTCCTTTTGGAATGGTAACATCAACCCTGTGCATTCACCCTATGTTGGTGGTGTTTAACTCTCTTTTGATTTTCACCGGCTCACAGCTAGGAGCTTGCCTCAAGCCTCAGAGGAGACTGTGGACGCCGGCTTTGAGCAGAGCTGGAACTGTTGGGACTGGTGACTCCTACAGATGGGCTGAATGCCCCCAGAGGTGCCATGAGTCTCTGGGGGCACGTGGGTCGTTGTGGTCTGACCTAGACACCCCTCCAGCCTTGAGCACGCTGAGGTGGGGCTTTAGGACGGAGGCTGGACCGAGGGGCGGGGTGGGGCCTGGAAGTGGATCTTTCCCTGGCTCCGCCCTTGGGTCTTACTGACTTCTCACCCACCACAGGATCAGCTTGCCCTGCCAGACCTCCCCCATGACACTTCTGCCCGGAGCTGGCCCACCCTGCAAGGACCCAAACTTCTCAAACCTGAGCCAAAATGAGCTTCTCATCGCTCAGTTGTGGGTGCCGGGTATTTGGTCCCAGTGACGAGGAAAGTGACTGTGACCAAGGCTCTTTTCTGTTCTTTCTTTTGTGGTGCTGGGGACTGAACCCAGTCTTTGCACTGAGCTACATCCCTACCCTTTCTTTGTTATTTTGAGATGGGGTCTCAGTAAGCCACCTAGATTGGACTCATATTTGTGATCCTCCTGCCTCAGCCTCCTAGAGTGCTGGCATTACAGGTATGCCCCCACACCTGGCTCTGAATCCTTCTTTTCTTTCATACATAAGAAGGTAACCTTAAGTAATCTCAGAGAGTCATCATTTTCCCTTCTTGCTGTCCTTTTCCAGTTTGCTCAGTTCCTCTAACAGGACGTGCTGGGTACTGTTCCTGCAGGCTGAGTGCCTCACAGGACGTGCTGGGTACTGTTCCTGCAGGCTCATGCTCATGCACACAGGTGAACAGGATGTTCTGGCCACAGTTAACTGGGTGTTCTGTGCTCTGGACCCCTGGGAGCCAGGCACAAAGACCTGGTGCTGGGCAGGGATGGGGTGGTGGGAGGACAAGAGAGGCAGTGTGACTGGAGTCCAGAAGCCCCTGAAGACAGGAAGCCCCGCTTTTAAGGGCGAGCACTGGAGATGCACAGTGAGATGAGCTCGGGGTGGCGAGGTGAAGGCAGAGGGAGGCTTTCCACAAGCCACACCTCCGCCAGCGCTGGGCCGCCCAGGAGCCCCCACCTAGAGTCTGCCCTTGTTTCCCGTGGTGGGAAACACAGCCTGCTCCTCTGGGGCCGCCATGAGGGGCAGAAGAGGGTGCAAGTCAATCATGCCTCCGAAATGGTGCCTGTGGCAGCAGCTAAAGCTCGATGCTGGAAGCAAATCCTCAGCAGTGCAGGAACAAAGTGCTGCTTCAGGTGCAGCAAAGAGTCCAGGACGGCAGGTGAGGAGAGGTGGGGACCTGGCCTGCAGGAATGTGCAGTGGAGACAGAGTCCTGACCCACCTCACATGCAGGGCTCCGATCTGTAGCCCCTCTGGCCTACCACGCGAAGGCTGCGTCACCTCCCAGCCCGACGCTAAGATCCGAGGTTCTGGTCCCAGGCTCCAGGCTCGGTGTGGGCCCACAGCCTCGGGAACAGTAGGTAGCCCGTCCTCACTGGTCTCCCCACATTCGCTCCTCTGCCACAGTGGCTCCAGGCAGCCACGGCTCCGGGGCAGATGCACCTGGAGGCCTGCTGGGCTACACAGTGAGACCCTGTCTCAAACACAGGCAGAACTGCTCCTGAACTCCAAGATGCTCTCCAGGAGTTTGGGGCTGCCTCGGTGGCCAGGGAAGGACTGCAGGGCGTTTGCAGCAAGCCTGGCCCCCAGGGGACAGGTGCCCGAGGGCACAGCCTGCAGGCCCGAGCCCCTGCCCCAGCTCAGTGGCAGCGACGCAGGCAGGCACAGGCTGCCCACCAGCCCGGCTCTGCTCAGCTCCTCTGAATCCTTCAGCACCGCCCTCAGCGGGCCCCAACACGGAGGTGCTGCCAAGCTGCAGCACAGCCCGGTCTGCTCTCTTCACGGTCCCTTAACACGTTTTCCCTGCTTCGCACACCCGAGCTCTATTTATTTAGATAATAAATAAATGACCACGCTGGTGGACGAGGACGAATGCCACACGCTGTTCCTGCTCGTCACAAAGCCTCTGGCCCCACAGCCGGGCAAGACAGGAGTCCTAGAAATACATGTCAATGCTATTTTATTGAAAAACAGCCCAGAACACACTGGAGGGGAGCCCTCTGGGGAAGGGGAGAAACCGGACACACGGACGAGCCACGGGCGACCGCAGAGGTCTGGGCCCGAGGGTGTCAGAGCACAGGGATAACTTCGGGGTGAATATCCTGAACTCCAGGGAGAAGTTCTGTTCTCTTCTTCGTCTTTCTCCTTGTTCTTTTAAATCTGAGACAGAGGCCTCTCTATGTTGGCCAGGTGGAGTTCAAACTTGTGGGCTCAGGTGATTCTCCTGCCTCAGCCTCCTGAGTGGTGGGAACTACAGATGCCTGGCCAGAGAAAAGTTTTAACAACACTTTGCTCAGGCAGAGGGAGATAAACTCCTTTAGTCAACAGACACCAGCTGGGTGTTCTCTGGCGGCGCCCTCAGGCCAGGCTTCTGCCCAGGCTGGCGGAAAGAGACAGCGAGGCGGGGACCCGGCAGTGATTCTGCAGACCCGGCCGCCTGGCCCCGGGGCAGCAGCGCCCCGCCCCGCGGGCTCCGAGAGCCTCGCTGCGGGAATCCCTCCCTCGTGGAGCAGCCCGACGCCCCTGGGCTCTGGGCGCTGCAGAGAGGGGCGCTGGGGGCCTGTTCCGGGCGTGCGAGCGGAGCGGCCGGAGACCCCACAGCCCACCCTGCCCACTCGGGACACGTGAGGCACCTGTCCTCCTGCGCAGGCACCCATCGGTCCCATTTTGAGCGTTAAGAAGCAGAAAAAGCCTGCATTGTAATGGTTCTGCTTCGAGCCATGAGCGGACGGTGCCGCGCAGTCCAGCACAGCCCGGAGTGGGCGAGCGCTCAGCTCAGCCGGTAACGGCCTAGCCCCGGCGGGGAGGGGAGGAGAGCTCCACTGCGGGCCTGGTCTGACGCTGTTCCAGGGAGCCTCTGTAGGAGAATGCTGGCGCAGGAGGCTCAGGCAGGAGGATCTCAAGTTCTAGCACGGCCTGTGCAACGTAGCCAGACCCTGCCTCAGGATAAAAGGCTTACAAAGGGCGCGCCCGGGGTTCAATCCCCGGTACCCCGGACAAGCGAGCAAGCAGGTCCTCTGTGGACTCGAAGGAGGGAATCCCGGTAAAATGAAACCCCGAGAAAAACCGGAGAGCCGGCCAGGGCGCGCCACTTACCAGGGGCGTGTCTCTTCCTCCCACGATGCTGAGCCCCAGCCCGGAGCGGCCTTTGGCGATCTCTATGACCACTTCCTGGCCCGGGACGATGGGGCACGTGGCGGGGTCCACGGACAGAGGCGCCTGGGGGCCACCTGGGGAGCGAGGGCGCAGGTGAGAGGCAGGAGAGGCGGGGGCTCGTGGGCCACACCCCAGCGTCGGTGAGGACGCCCGGAAACGCTGTGCTCTTGCACAGAAGAAAAATCAGCAGGGCAGAGTAAGCGGCCACGCGATTGGATACATAAGGCATAGTTACAGTGAGAACAAAGGCTTAGATGCGTAAGAGTCTGAGTTACAAAATACTAATTAAGAAAGAAAAGTAAACTCTCTCCTCCTCCCCTTCCTCTTTTTTTTCTGCCTCTTTTATTTTTATTTTATTTTGGTACTGGGGATCGAACTCAGGTCCTTGCGCTTGGGAGGCAGGCAGCGGACCCACTGAGCTAAATCCCCGGCCCTTTCTGCCTTTTTTTAAAAAAAAAATTAATTTTATTGGTACATTTTAGGTATACAGTATAACGACATTCATCATTGGGAATTTGCACCTTTACATAATCTCTCGGTTCTTATTTTTCCCCTTCCCCCGCCATCCCTTCAACCTCTCCTTCCCTCCTATTTACAAAGACTTTCTTTCCACTTTTTCTTTTTCTCATATTAATTCCATTCCCTTCTTTCCTTTCCCCTACCCCTCCCACTTCCCCTTCCCCTTTGCCCCTTTTCTTCCTATTTCACGTTATCTATTATACCTTTTAGTCCTTATTTATGTTTTTTGGTACTGGGGATCAAACTTGGGCCCCTGCGCTTTCGAGGCGGGTGGCGGAACCTCTGAGCTAAATCCCTGGTCCTTTTAGTCATTATTTACTCTTTCAGTTTCTCACACTAGAAAGACTATTTGGTATTTACACATGTGTGTCCTATTTATTTCACTTGAGAGTATGGCCTCAATGTGCATCCATTTAGCCAGAAATGTCTCTAGTTTCTCATTTTTTATGGCTGAGTAGTACTCCATTTAATTAAAAACCACATAGCAGCACAATTTGTAATAGCTAAAACTTGGAAGCAGCACAATTGCCCATCAGCTGGAGACTGGATAAAGATGTGTGTGTGTGTGTGATAAAATGGAGTACTACTCAGCCCTTCCTCTTTTTTATGCTACTAGGTGAATCTCGGGCTTTGGAGCTGAGCCCCATCCCCAGACTCATTTTGCTTTGTTTTTGAGACAAGATCTCAGTCACTAATTTGATCAGGCTGGGCTCAAACTTGCAACGCTCCTGCATCAGCCTCCTTAGTGCTGGGATCACAGGTGTTGCCACCACACTCGGCTTTAAATACTTTCTTTTCAGTTTCAGCATGTTGTATGTTTTGTTTTTGTTTTTTGGTACCGGGGATTGAACTTGGGACCTTGCGCTACAGCATGTTACATGAATTTAAATGCATAAAGGATTTAATAAAGCATGATGTAACTGAAAATAGCTACTTAAAATTTTTTTTTGGTACTGGGGATTGAACTCAGGACCTTGCTCTTTCCAGGCAGGTGCCCGAACCACTGAGCTAAATCCCCGGCCCTCTACTTAAAATTTATCTCTGAGTTTATGACAAGCTGAGCATGGTAACCACAGGTTTCTGACTGGGCACCGACGTGTGGGGTTTCCCCAGCAGAACTCTGCCTGCCTACATGCGTCGGGCCCTGGGCTCGGTTCCCTGGTACTGCAAAATCAAAAGCCAAGAAAAAGAAAATGAAAGAGAATTCTGTCTGACCTCCTGTGATGAGTCCCTGCCCCATCGAAATGCACAACATCAAAAATACTGCATAGCACAGCCCCATGCCACGCTGACAGGGCAGAGAGGAAACTCAGGTGACTTGGTGTTTGAGTGTGGTCTCGTTATGGCTCTGTAAATCTTCTGACGTCTGAAACAACCTCAGACTGGAGCCCCTTCTGCCCCTCGGACCTAGGGGCTGGGGTACTCGACATGTACTCAGGGACAGAGGACAGAAAACCGAGGGCTTCTAAACACAGTGAAACCGTTTCCTGGTCCACAAGCGAAAACCTTGTTGAAAGAGTAACAGCTGGACTATAACGGTTTGTTTATAAAAATTTATTGTTTTAAGCCTGGATTTTTGTAAAACTGAGAGAAAAATGTTTACAGGCCAAGAGACCCATGCACTCTCACATTTTCATGTTTTCCAGATAACTAAACGGCCTCCCACTAAAAACTCCAAACATGCAGATGTTAAGTGGTCTCCCACTCGGGCTGCAGACAGCAGTGCCCCCAGGATGCGGCCTCTCCCACACCCAGCCCCTGAGACTCAGGACCTGACTCAGGGTTGGCAACAGCCACCCTGCCCTCCACTCACCTGTGGCCCAGGTTGGAAGCCACCCGAGAGCCACACACGCAGCTGGCGGTCACAGCAGGGCTCGGCCCACAACAGCCCTTGGCCAACAGTGGCGTTTAAATTTTCAAATGGTAAAAAATCAGAAGAAAAATATTTTGAGACATTTAAAACTTATATGCAATCCAGAATCCAGAGTCCACAAAGTAAAGCCGTATGGGAACACAGCCCATGAATCCTGTGGGTCCTGTCACCGCTCCGGTCCCCGCACTCCACACGGAGTTAGTAGCTGCAACAGAGACTGTGGCTCGGCCCGGCCCAGCACATCTACGGGGGCTGTCTGTGAAGTCTGCCCACCCCAGGACGGAACAGGGAAACGGCCCGCGTCAGCCCGAGGGCTCTGCTCTAAGCAGTGACAGAAGGGCCAGGTTTGTAGGGGCACAGAGTTGGATTTGGGTTCCTACCCTACAGATTCATTTGGGGTGATCAAAAACTAAGGTGAATGCTTAAATTTAAAAGAATTCTTCCAGTAAAAGACAGACACACTGACACAAATCCCCCTCACATACCCCCCTGGCTTCATACACACTCATCCCATCGCTCTGGCCACTTTCTGCAGCAGCTCTGGAGTCCTCTTTCCTGAGGGTCTTTACCAGGTGTGATCAAAAATACAGTGAATGCGGCTGCCGAACGCCATCCAAGGAAAGGCAGCTCGTAAAGACACGATGCTGTGTCCTCATCCACCTTCCGGCCTTCCCCAAAGTCAGGATGACCACGAAGGGAGACGTTTTGAATCGAGTCAGGATGTGGAGGCAGCCGGGACAGCTGGGGAAGAGCAGGGATTTAGGGCCAGGACCTCAGTAACAACAAAACTCGGCACATTAGAAGTAGAATACCAGGCTGGGGATCTAGCTCAGTGGTTCCACCACCTGCCTCGCAAGTGCAAGGTCCTGAGTTCGATCCCCGGTACCAAAAAAAAAAATTAGGTAAGAAATAGAACACTAAGTTGCCAGCCTAATTTGTTTCTAGATCCTTTTGCAGCATGTGTGTTCCACGGCATTTCCTGTTCATTTACCATGAAAACTGCACAGTAGGGGCACAGTTTCATGGGTGCTGTGGAAGGCGTGTGGTGCTTGAGTGGTAGGTCGATGCTCCCGAGGGGCAGAGACAGAAAGCACAGTGAGGGCGTCGCCAGCGCACTGCTTCCCTCCCTGGTGCCCGCCGGCCAGTCCTCTGTGGTGATTTCCTTCGCAGAATCCAGGCCGGAGCCTGGCTCAGACCAAGCGTGCAGGCAGTGCGGGAAGCGGATGAGCACAGGAGTCAGGTCTCCAGTCTGAGCGTGGGATGGGGAACTCCTGCTGAAGCTGGGCACGGGGCAGTGCAGGCCACGCGGTCTCTGTCGCAGCTACTTCACGGTGCCCTCACAGTGAGGGCAGCCACGGACGACACACAAGCAAATGGGTGTCTCAATAAAACTTTATTTGTGGACACTGAGATTTGAACTTCATATAATTTTTTATGAACTATACTTCTAATTTTTTTCAATCTCTATAAACATGGAAACCATTTGAAGCTCACAGACCAAATAAAAACAGGTGTTGGGTGTCATTTGACTCATGGGCCATAGTTCGCTGATCACATTCATCAAGTATTTTACTATAAATCCAGGGCTTTGGGATCATACCGATTTTCTAAACTTTTTACAAGGAGTTAACATATATGAAAAATATATGAAAGGCAAACACCACGAAGGTGTCATACCTGGTGAATTAACGCAGGTTAAGCTCTGCCACTGGCAAGGTGGGGCTTTAGGGAATCTACTTCCCAGAGATTAATACTGCATAACAGCAAGGTGGAAACACTCACGATTCACTGTGAGGGTCTATCTCGAACCCCCGTCAGCATAAGTTCCCAGCCAGGACTTTAAAGGCAGAACATGAAACACCGATTTCTGTAAGCTCCGAAAAGAAGTCTCCAAGTAGCTTCCATCAACACAGAGAGCTAAGCACTGTGCTCAGTTTGATTTTCAGGTGATTACTTGTGATCTAAAGAATCTGGCAGCCTCGCATTCAAATACCACTCGCCGAGGGGCTTTTCTGTCCTGGGATGTTTTTATCCAACACGCAGCAGATGGGGCCAGTGGCAGCGAGGACACCATCGCAGGTCACAGGCCTGCCTGTCCCTGAGCTAAGGAAGAGCAGGGCCAGGGCCAGGCGTCCTGCTCCAGGTCCTGCTCCCCGCTCTGGGGGTCCCGAGCCGGTTCTGCCAGGGAAGGGACCGTACCGTAGCCTGAGACGTCGGTCTCTGCCTCGTGGCATGACGGGACCTCCTGTGAGCCAAGGGAGGCTCTGGCCCAGTGGCTTTGCTCTTGCATCTCACTGGCATCCTGCGAAAGGAAGGACAATGCATGAACCGGTGGGAAGAGAGCGGCTGAATTCTTGGCAGAGCAATGGCGCGCTCCGGCAGTGTCTCTGGGGACAGGGGTGGGCGGGGGCAAGGTGGAGGGGTTGGGGCCATTTCTGCCCGACTGGGCTCCCTCGCTGGGGCAGGTCATGGCAGAGAGGAAGGACGCGAGCCGAGCCCTCACTGTGGCCCATGTGAGAAGGAGAAGGCGTTTCCAGAGTCTGCATCGTGCTGCAGCCGATGTGCTGGGCACAGAGTGCTGTTGGGCCCTTCTGGGGCCACTGCTGGGACCACAGAGCATGAGAGGGCAGGAGAGGAGAGCACCCGGTGGAAGCCCACTCACTGCCCGGCCTGGGAATCGAGGGGCCCGACACGTGTTTGTGGACTGAGTGCAAGGGGCGTGGCCGAATGACGTGTAGGAAACTGGGCACTGAGGAGCTTGCGGCTCAGTGAGGACATGGGGACTTCTGCCGCGTCAGCTCTGGAAAACGAACTTGTAATTCTGATGAGACCTTCAGGGAGATTAGCAGCTCCAGCAACGCTAAGAAAACCAAAAGAGTGCTGCTGGCCTCACGGGTGGAAGAGAAGCACAGGCAGTCACCGGCCGGCCTCCAGGGCTGAGGGAGCCAGGCCCATCCCCGCTGGAGGATCAGGGAGGCTGGGGCCACCGGGATCCCAGGAGCCTGGAGCCGGGGCCACGGTCAACACCCAGCACCGAGACACTGCTCTGTGCCCACACACGGGGTCTGCATGGTGCTTTCTGGTTTCCAGATCACTTCACAGCCGGGAACCTGAGTCAGACAGCATTACATGGTCCTGCAGGTAAACTGACAGCTCTGAAATCACACAGCTCATCAGACGAAGAGACAGGGCCGAGAGGGGCAGCCGGACAACGCCAGGATCTGGAGTGTCACCAGACAGTGCCACACTGTGACCCTTGGGTGCTCATCCTTTTTTCCTATAACCTGGACTCTGGCTTTACTTCCTCAGAAAGAACCATCCAATTACATATTCAGTGGTGATTTTATTTATTATTTATTTTTTTTTGGTACTGGGGATTGAACTCGGGACCTTGCACTTGCGAGGCAGGCGGTGGCACCACTGAGCTGAACCCCCGGCCCTCGGTGGAGATTTTAAAGAGGAGAGCAGGAGGAAGACGGGGAGGGGTCACCGCCAGAGAACTGAATGCTGCTGGGAAGGAGCTGGCCGCTGCCCAGGACCACAGCCATCGTGGCAGGGGAGGACGCGGCTGGAGACACCTGGCTCCCAAAGAGGGAGACCCCGCCTGCCCGGTGCCGGATGTGTTGGTAATAACCGGGCACCACCTCAGGCCCCCTAAATGGACGTCCACTATGAGGACAACAATCCCCTAAGAGGTGCTCGGCTGTCTCCCCGAACCGATCCCAGCCAGGCTGCCTCACAGGTGGGAACCCCGGCAGCAGTGTGGCGCCCTGGCCTCACTCCCACCGCTTGGCCGGCTCTTCATTTTGTGTCATCTCAGGAAAGAACCCAGATGTCCAACAGTGTTCGTCCTCTGAGAATGCGGCCACGAGTTCCTCCACAGCGAAGCCAGTCAGAGTCCTGACGGGAGCAGGGGGACAGCATCCCTGCGAAGGCTTCTGCGGCAGCAGGGGTGGCTGCTGTCCACCTCTCGACTCCGCTCCGAGTAGCATCTGGAGCCTCACGATGACCAGTGAGTACCGGTGTGGCCGGTTCCATCCACAAGTAAGGAACCCGTGAAGCACACCATCCGTGTTTTCCTAAGGAAAGGCTCTGTACTTCCCCAGGTCCCTCTGTGGCAGGAAAACAGCGCGGCACGAAGATACGAATTGCGGAACCACTGCCACTAGTTACCGGTGAGACCGCACAAGCCACTCTGCCTCCTCGCAGGTGACGAGGCCACACATCGGCACCTCGCAGGCGATCGTGAGGCGCAGATCAACTCACCCTGAGCCAGGAGCAACCAGGAGCTCAGTGAGGACAGCCATTAGTACGCTTGTCCTTCCACAGAGTAGAAAGGAATGGCGGGGGCAGCTTCTGGTTGAAAACCTTCAGGGGTGGAAAGTTCCGTGTCCAGGAGGAGGCTCAGCCCAGGTGCTGCGGCCTGGCGGTGGGGGGCTCTTCGCAGTGCTCGCGCGGCCTCACTGTGGCGCTGCCCACTGACCGTGAGCTGTGATCTCTGGGCCATGGGGGTGCACGGTGACCTTCCTGAGGAGGAGGCCCTGGGCCTCTAAGTGCGTGGTCTCCGTGGGGAAAGAAGCGGCAGGGGACGGTGAGGGCTGCCCAGCTTGGATCCACGGCTGGGACCCACTTGAGACAGCTGTGTGCGGGCAGGGACAGACGGAGCAGGATGCCTTGGCACACGCTGCAGACATGCCACACAGTACGCAACCCGCCTTTCAAGTTGAAAAATTGCTTACAGGTCTTCATTTTCTTTTTTTTGGTACCGGGGATCGAACTTGGGTCCTTGTGCTTGCACAGCAGGCAGTGAAACCGCTGAGCTAAATCCCCGGCCCCACTGCTGCAGTTTTGAAAGCAAAGTAAAACTCAAATGCAAGGTGCACTAAGGTCATCGACGTTTGCACAGAACAGCAAACGTCCCGCGTGGAGTCTTCATTCACGTGCGGGACACGGTACGCTCGGTGTGGTGAGGGGCGACCAGGTGGCCCTCTGGATACGCTGTGGGCTGCAGGGCACACCTGACCTCCCGCTACGTGACGAGGGATTCACTGTCCCCGCTGTCCCCGCTGTCCCCTTCCCCTCTGGAGCAGCCCCCAGCAGGGCGGGGCCCGGGAACACGGACTCGGGTGTCTTCTGCCGTCGGCCACCCCCCGGTGTCAGGGCTCCTGGAGCTCCAAAGACAGCGGTGAGCGGCGCTGAGAGCCCACGCGCTCCCCATCACGTTAAGCGCCCTGCGCCCGGCTCCCGCCTGCTCTGAAAGGGCCGGAGCCCTCCAGGCACAGGCTGTCAACCGCGTCTGCTCAGCTCCCCGAGCTGCCGGGCGCGGGGTCCTCGGAGGTCCGGGATGGCGGCTCCCGGCCGCCGTCCTCCTTGACACAGTCTCCCACATCCGCTTTTACGCTGTGCGATAAACATGCTTCCGGGTTCAAGCCCTGAGACCAAACCTTTCCCCTTAAGATTTTTGATGAGAGGCAAAAAGCACATGGCTAGAGACGTGGAGAGAGGAAGACGGGAGCGGAGCCCCATGGAAGGGCAGGTTCCGGACCTGGAGCATCGCAGAGCGCAGGCCACTTGTCGTGGAAGTGGCTGGTGCTGTCGGGCGGACAGCTGACTCAGCCTCCGATCACAGGCACGTTTATGGGGAGTCACGGGGGCTCACTCAGCCAGGGACGCCGGGGGCAGCTCGGGGGAGGAGGGGGGTGCGACACAGCACCCGAGGCTGCAGTTGAGCCAATGTGGAGACAGAAGACAGTGAGCGACCAGAAGAGCCGTGTCAGGGACGAGAGATCCCAGAACCTTGATGTGAGTCATGTGATCCTGAGCAGGTGCTCTGACCTCCTAAGACTGCAAGTTCCTCACTTACAAAAGGGAGAGGAAAACACCAGGCGTGGCAGCGCCCAGCACTCAGGAGGCTGAGGCAGGAAAATACTGCGAGTTCAAGGCCGGCCTGGAGCCCACAGTGAGCTCAAGGTCAGCCTGAGGCACATCAGCGAGATAGAGTCTCAAGCAAAACAAAGTGAGACAAACTGTTTTAAGAGTAACTGTCCTTAGTGATGCGCAGGGAGTAAGTCAGGCTCTTGGCATGGGGCCTGGGAAGACTGCCCTTGACTAGCACTGTGCTGCGACCCCCACGGCCCCGCCACTAACCCCTCTCCCTGCTCCAGGACCCACGAGCCGCGTGGTGCCTGCTACCGCACGGCCCAGGGTCGGCCACTGTCCTCCCAGCACCTCGGGTCTCCAGGACCATTTCTTTCCACACGCCGCCTTCGGTCAGGGCCGGCGGGCCACAGTCCCGGGGCCTCAGATTTCAGAGCCCGCCAGCGGGAGGAAGCATCTCAGCGCGCGAGGCTCGCGTGGAAAAGGCGCTGAGGCCCGGGAGGTCTCGAGTGAAAACTCCAGCCGCCGCGCACGCGGGCTCACTGGGTTTCCTCTGCGGCGGCTGAGCGGCCGAGGAAGAGCAAAGGCAAGCAGTTCTCCTGGACAGGAAACCTGCTCTGCGCTTCCACCCGGCGTAGCCCAGTTAACCGGCGGGCGGAGGGCTGCGTCCCTACCGCAGACACAGACGCAGACGGGGAGAGGCCAGGCCGACTCCTCGCACGCACGCCACGGAGGACCCGCTGGCCCTGCTGGGCTCCTCCTCCTCACAGCCCCAGGAGCACAGAGCCCGAAGGTCTGGAGGGCCCAGCGACGGAAGGACGGAGCGTAGGCAAGCCAGCCCGCTTGGCCACACCCGCCCAGCTCCTTCCGGTCGTCCCTCGTCCCTGCCTCAAAACCGCTCATTCGCACTGAGTTTCTTGTTCCCAGGCTGGGCTCAAGGGATCCTCCCGCTGGGACTGCAGGGTGCGCCACAGTGTCTGGCTGAGTCTCACCGAAGGTCGCCTTCGGGCCACGGCGACACTGCTTATGCCTGAGTCCTGGGCCCCGTTCAGTTTCCTTCCGACAAGCGTGGCTGCCTCGGCCTGGCAGCTCAGAGGCTCCCGCAGGTGGAGACATCCTGCCCGCTGTCGCGGCCACCACACGGCGGCGTCACAGGACCTGGCAGGCCCATCTCTCCTGGAGACGGACAGTCACAGGGCCCGGCCGGTGGGCAGGAAGCCCGGGGCTGGGGGCAGTGCTAACACCGCAGTCCCGAGACGCCCTCCTCGGTGGGCAGGAAGCTGATCCCCACACGCGCGGCACCTTCCCCGCCGGGTCAATCCCGAGTCTTTGCAGGCCTGGCCGGTGAAGGAAGGTGTGGACGGCACCGCCGTGGCTTCATCTCTGCAGCCTCCCGCCTCCATGTCTCTGTTCCCCTCACTCGCC